CAGTGTGATTGTATTTTGAGTTAGATTAATGTGATGAAACAGATACTCAGATACTGGTTTTGCCTTTTGCCTTCAGACATTTTTGCTATATGTTGGCATCAGGCTGTTGTACAACCAGTTAGTTACCCTTGTTTCTGGGCACATTTCTGGTACCTTTTTTGGGGAGTAGGAGGTTAGGTTTTAAGTTGGAAAATATGCTCACTTCACTGATCACTTGGCAGAATTGAACCTTGCTTTCTGACCACTAGGCACCTATATAAAATTTAAATTTAGTGGAAGTTTTTTTTTTCCCTCATTTTTGTTTCATTCTGAACATCTGCAGTTATTAATATGCAGTCCATGGGTGTCTGACCCAGTTATCTTTAAGGATGATGGACAGGACGTTACATTTCTACAGGCTTCCCTATTCCTGGGGGTAAAGAGCTCCTTTTTCTAGGAAATAATGAAGGAGACGTCACCAAAGCTTGTGTAAGCAATTCCTTGTTGCAACAGAGGTTTTTTTTTTTTTGTTTTATTTTGTTTTTTTAAGAACAGAGGATGCATTTAGGTATACAGGGTATGGATGTAGTCAGCATTTGTTTTCTACCTTTATAGATAGTGACCTTTTGTTACAGTCAGGTGATCTTCTCGAACTTACCACGAACATAGGTGGTGCCTGTTTTGGTTTTGTAGGATAATGAGAATACCAAGTTCTAAAAAGGAACTGTTGGGGAGATATATACTTAAAAATGAACAAAAATTCTACCTTGCTCAGTGAGCTAGCTTAAGAACATTGATGCATCAGGAATACTTTCAAACGACCTTTGCTATAATGTGTAGCTTTAATGTCTCTCTTCAGTTATGGACCCATAAAAGTATTACTATATCTTGTGAATAAGGATCATTCTTGTGGAGTGATACATGGATGCTTTCACAGGCTGTGGGATGCAGTGGTGTGTGTGCGTGCGTGTGTGTGTATATATAAATATTCTGTTTGTAACACTGTACTACACAAGTTTATATAGAAAAAAATAATTATTTCTTTAGCATTTTGGAGGACTGAAATTGTAAAGTAGCTATTCCAGTGTAATCCGACCCCTCCCTCTAGAGGACATTTATATTACACACAAATGTACACCCCATAGTGTGGCTAACTGCTCCCACTTTAGATTATTGCTGCTCTTTTTTTTTAACCTAAGTAATGGAGGAAGAAATAGCACTCTTTTTAAAGGGACTTTTCTGAAGAGTAAAATGTAAATATAGGACATGTGGGAGGGTTGGGGCCACCTGCAAATGTCCTGTAGTTGGACAAGTAGCCTTTTAAAATTTACTTTTTAACCATCTTGACCGTGTGTGCCTATTTGTATTGCAGATGTGAACTACAATTTGGGGGGGTTGATATCAGTGTGTTTTGAAACTTAATTATTACATAAAATCAAAATAACCTCTTTCTCCATCTTCCTTTTTCCACACAAACTATTTTTGCCAAATATTTCTACTAATACCAAGTCTCAGCACGGTAAAATGATGGGGGTCTCAAACCTCCTTCCTCATCTTTCCTAGCCTGTCATGTGCCTGGTCTTCTATTTTTTTTCTTGGCTTTTCATAAGAAAGAATAATTAATTGTTGTGATTTGCAGATGGCAGAATTTCAGATGTTTATTAGCCTTCCTTTGTTAATACGTGGTTACACAGTAATGTTTGTTAAAAAATTGAGTCTGATTTTGTAATATGCTGTTGGTCCAGATAAGATCTTGAAATGATGCCAGACTGCCATATTTTATTAAGAAGAAAGTGAACTTTATGTGGTGGGGCTGGGAGCGAGACTGGGATATATATGTAATCACTGTATAATTAGAAACACCAAATACTGGATCCTATCACTGTGTACTTGGGGGTCAGGCTTTGAATTTGGTTGTTATTTTAACTCCTTGAGGTCTGTATGTAACTATAAGAAGACAGCAAATAAAGTTTTTAAACAAACGTGCTTTTTTTGGTATTTAAAATTTGGTAGCAGATTTTCTACTTTCAGTTAAATTACCTTCCCAGAAAAAAAATTACTACAAAAAAAAACTTAAGGTTGAAATTGAGAAGCTTGAAGCTTTTTAAGCAGTTTAGTTCCTCATAATTTTTTATGTTAAGGAAATTGTCGTAATTCTTTCTGAGCCAAACTGTCACTAAACTGTCCTGTGACAGAGCCACTCCTCTCTTCTGGCATTCTGTGTACGGAAGGGATCAATGTGTTTGTTTTTGATCCTTGATTTTAAAAAAGTAATGGTTTTAGTGTTGCTTAGCTTCAATTTGAAGTGTAACTTCCACTAATAACTGCAATAAAAAGCAAAGCTTTGCTCCAAACTTTGTGTTGCGTGATCATCATTAGCTCCTTAACTTGGGGACGGGGGCCAGTGTGATGCAGTGGAAAGAATCCAGGCTCTATGAGGCATGAAGTTCAAATATTGATTGCACCAGACCACAAATAGATGCTTCTCAATTTGTGCCCTCCACTGTACATTGAATGAGATGGAAAGTACCTCAAAGTGCTGAACACATGGATGGAGCTCAGGTTTTAAAGAGGTTCTTCCACACACACCCATTTTCCCTTAAATGAGGGAGAGTGGAAAGAGAAGGCAGCAGGAAACAAGGCTTACAAACTCTTCCAGGAAGTGAAAGAATTTCAAAACAAGAAGGAAAAATAACTGAAGGAACATGGCCAGGTGGGGTGGCAAGGGGACTCCCCACAAGCCCAACAACCTTTGCACAACCAGGTATAGGTGTATACGGTCACTAGACTAAGGTTCTGGAAGCTGGTTCTCAAATGTCATAACCGTTTAACCTCAGGTATGACACACTTCACTCTATAATTGAAGTTATTGGACTAAAATCAGAGTCTCACGTCAGGCCAATGTGATCCTGAAAATACTTTTTGTTGGGTATTTAAGATATTTTTATTAGTTGCTAACATTTAAAAAGTGAGAAGCTCTCACATTAAAATCCAGATGTTATCTTCTCTTGAAAAGTGAAGTTCAACAGCTTCACATATTCCTTCAATAATCCTTCACATCCGCCATCAGGGAGCTCCCAGTGGTTGCCCCCTTCAGGTGGGGCACACTGTCCCCAGAGCCCCCACCACTCTGCCCAGCCTGGCATTTTCTTTGCCATTGCTGGGATCAAAGGAACACTGGTGTAAAGTGTGGCCTCGAATCCCATTGAAGACGTGCTCCTCACCTGGTGGTCAATACTTCGAAACGGTTCAGCCTAAATGCCAAAAAACACGTCCCTCCAGATTTTCCATTTGCCTTATTTACCTTCTCAAAACATCACAGAATTGAATGCAGTCCCCTCTTGCTGTTGGGCATTCCTTTCCCCAGTTTTCTCCCAGCTGCATGTACCCAGACTCAATACAACTCTACTGGTATAGTTTGTGTTCTTTTTTTTTTTTTAAAGATTTATTTACTTATGCATGCAAGAGCTGGGGTATAGGCCAGAGGTGTGGGGGGAGAGAGGATTCACAAGAGACACAGTGGGGAACAGGACAGGCAGATGGACTGAAACACACTGCTGAGGGGAGCAGCAGGAAAGACAGGTGAGGTCTGCTGCGCCATGTGGGTAGCTCCCTGGCTGGGATTGAACTCATGCTGCAGTGGCTGTGGGTAGCTTCATAGGTTGTGTCTCAACCCCTTGCGCCACCAGGGAGGCCCCTATAGTTTGTGTTCTTGAAGGATCTTGTACTGATGCTAAAGAAGCACAAGTTAACTTACTGACAAATCCTGGGTCCCACCCTTCAGGTGTATGTTACATCACCACACCCACCCCCAAGGCACTGAAAGCCCCCCCCCATAGTCCCATTGGGGCCCCTTCCCATCTTCTTCCCCTATCTCCCCCTCTGGTATCCTCAATTCTACAGTCAGATTCCTAGAGTTTGTTATTGGCTTGGCTTTGTCTGACCCTTCCTCTTATTTCTGTATATTCCACATATAACAACACCATTTGGTTTTTGACTTTCTCCTGAAAAGGAGCAGTCTGCATAGTAACTACACTGGTGCAGGAAAAAAAATTTTTTTAAATAATTATACGCAGGGGCCTCCCTGGTGGCGCAGCGGTTAAGTCTCAGCGCTATCAAGCTATCACCAGCCAGTGCATGATGAGTTCGATTCCCAACCAGGGAGCTGAGCCACATGGCCCCGCAGACGTCTCCTGTGTCTCCTGCTGCTCCCCTCAGCAGTGTATTTCAATCTGCCTGCTTTGTTCCCCACTCTGTCTCTGGTGAATCCTCTCACCCCCTGCACCTCTGGCCTGTACCCCAGTTCTTGTGTGCATAAATAAATAAATCTTTAAAAATAATAATAAATAAAAGAGGAGAAAGTAATTTACTCTGGGGCAATATACGCAACTCCCTTGGCAAACAATTCATATAAAATCTCAAAATCTCCCACTATTACTTGGAGGAGCGTTCCTTCACTGTCAATAGCCAAAATCAGTCCCAATTTAAAGCAGAAATCCTCTAAAGTGACACTAAGTTGTTTGAAAAACATTTTCATAATCGCAGTTCTCATATTTCTAAAATAGCAGCTTCCAGAGGGAAGCCAGGGTTTGATTAATATTGCAGTAACCTGCAACCTAAAACCTGGGCTCTCACTTGCCAAGCACATTACTAAGCTGTCTAGGAGTCAGGATCTTGCGCGGAACCCCAGAGGAGGACAGAGGAGCACCCGAGGATCCTCTTCTCCATTTCCAGCGCCGCCCAGAGGCAACGTGGGGTGGTGACAGCGCGCAGACCTGCGGGGCCCACACGCCTGGGTTCCCACGCCCGCCTATTAGCTTCCCGGTCTCAGTAACTACCCGAGCAAAAGGGAAGCAGGCCTGCCTTCCCATTAGTCACAAAGATTAAATATTAACACTTGCCAAGGCCTAGAACAGTGCGGACGCGGTTGATATTTTTTAGAGCAATGCTTGGATTTTAAGCATGGCTTCCACTCCCCCAAAACTCGCTCCCAAGGTGGTGCCCTCTCCAAATATGATTACCATTCCTTCGGTGCCGCCCAGCAGATGTGGAAAACGACTGACGCAAGACGGGCTCCAAGGAATGCGAGAAAATGATTCTGGGGAACCACTGGGGCGTGAGCCTGGGTGTGCGCCCACTTGTCTCTGTGCACAAGTCGATGCAAAACTTTCATCAAAATAAAAATGTTGAACTTGACAGTGCAGTGCGCGGCACCCCCGAGGACCCCTCCGGCAGCCCCATCCCCCGGCCTCGCCAGCCCTAGCCGAGCGCGCCCCGCCCCCGGCTCCCCCGCGGCCCCGCGGTTGCCAAGCGAAACAGGGGCGCGGCGCGCGGGGGGAGGCGCTGCCTGGCAACGGGGGCCGCCAACAGCGGCGCGGGCGGAGGAAGGGCGAGCCGCCAGACGAGGTGAGCGCTCCAGCGAGCGGGGGCGGCCAGGGGCTCCCACTCAGGCCGAGACCCCTCCCTCTCCCCCGCCGCCTGCTTTCTCTGCGCCAGGCCGGATATTAATCTAAACCAAAGAAGAATATTTTGGGGAGGGGAGGGGAGGGGAGGGGAGGGGAGGGCGGAGAGGGGAGGGGAGGGGCTGCGACCCCAGCTCCTCCCACTGGGGGGACCCTCACTGTCCTGCTCCCCCTCCTCCAAGGATGGAGAGAGCGTGTTGGCCAGTTGGAGAGGCCACCCCCCACCACCCCGTGGGGGCCGCCCGTATCCCCTGCTAAACAAGCCTCGTCCTCGCTGGGCGGAGAACAGGGCCCCTCTTAAATGCCCCAGTGGTCCGGGTGCAAAGCAGGGGCCTAGGAAGAATAGAGGGCTCCGCAGGACTTGCTGGAAGTAGGGGTGTCAACTGGATTAAGAGCTCTTGCCCTGCTCCACCTGCCCCACTAAGCAATAAGCGCGCGCGCACACACACACACACACACACACACACACACACCCTGTAGATTCCCTTCCACCTGCTCCAGACATGCAGGAATTTGTGCCTGTGGGTCAGTGGGCCGGAGGAAACTTAATGCCTCACACAACGTTGTGTAGCGCTAAGGAAGGCTTCCTGCAGGAAGGGACTCAGAGCAAAATGGACAGGAGTATGTCCTTTGGGGGCAGCTCTTGATCCAGGAGAGGATTCCTGAATGGTCTCCTGCAGCCTTGTTTTCCCTCTGTAGCAGAAGGGAACCAGGGCCCGGGGGCTTCGGACCCCCTGCTTCCCCTGCACCATGGCGACACTGAGCGTCAAGCCAACTCAGCGTTTCCGGCTGCCAGACTGGCACACCAACAGCTACCTGCTGTCCACCAATGCTGAGCTGCAGCGAGATGCTTCCCATCAGATCCGCCAGGAGGCCCGGGTCCTCCGCAATGAGACCAACAACCAGGTTAGGGGCAGAACCCAGGTGACTGGGAGAAGTGATAGCCCCCAAACACGATACCCTCTTTATCTGGCTCTGTCTCTTCCAGACCATTTGGGATGAACATGACAATAGGACTCGACTGGCAGAGAGGATCGATACCGTCAACCGATGGAAGGAGACACTGGACAAGTGTCTGACGGATTTAGATGCGGAGATCGATGCCTTGGCACAGGCAGGGAGCAAGGGCCGGGTGTGGGAAGCCCCTGCTGCAGGGTCATCTCTCCCTTCCTGCCTTGGGGTTGGGGAACCCTTGAGGGGTGTTGGCTGGCATATCCACCTAAGTCGCTTCACTGACCCCTCTGCTAAAGTGGGAGAGCTGCTTCCCAGTGGGTGGCCCCACCAACCACTCCTGTGCCCCCTCTTTTCTAGATGCAAGAGTCAGCCGAGCAAAACCTGCAGGCGAAGAACCTGCCTCTGGACGTGGCAATTGAGTGTCTGACCCTGCGAGAAAGTCGGCGCGACATTGATGTGGTGAGAGACTCTGTAGAGGAAGAGCTGCACAAGGAGGTGGAGGTCATTGATGCCACCAAGAAGGTCTTGCAACAGAAGATAGACCAGGCCTTCGAGAAGCTCAGGTAAGGATTGTTCACCTCCCTTTGGAGTCTGGTGTCTTAATTACAGAACATCACGACTGTGGATAACAAGCCACTGGCTCTCGGGCTGCTCTCTGGCCTCTGTGCCCATGGCAGAAACCACTAATTATTGCAGTTTCACCACCACCCGCACGTGGTCTCAGAATACTCACGACCCTGCTCTAGGAAACAATTATCAGTTGATTGGAAACACGAGAACTTCCCACCACCCCTTATTATGGGTATGTGTGAGCATTTGTGAGTGTGGCCACACACATGTGCCCCATTGGTGTAGGCAAGCTCATAGGCATCCTAATTTTGTCTGTGGGGAGCTCGTACAGCTGTCTTAGTTCAGCAGTAGCTCCACTGTCACTCCATTGTCATCCCAGCTGCGTATCCCTCAGTGTCCCTTCAGTGCATTTCAGGCTGCATCATGGGCCTTGGAGGCATGCTTCCCAGTGAAGTCTGTGCCTCCCCCAGCCTCCTGCAGGAAGCCCGACAGCAGCTCGCCTCTGACCATCGGGACAAGATGGAGACATTGGATATTGACAGAGGCTGTCTCTCTCTCAACCTCGAGTCCCCAAACATCTCTCTGAAGATCAATCCCACACGTGTCGACAGCAGGTGAGAAGAGTGTGTCAGTCTCTCCACCTCCCACAAGGCCATAGTCCTGACCCCTGTATTTCCTGCCACCTGCAGCTCCTCCACACTCCAGCAGTGGGATGACTTCAGTCAGTTCAACAAGAACAGGGCGGAAGCTGAGATGAAAGAAGCTGTGGAGCTGAGAGAGGCCATCGCTCTTGCTATTGCCCAGGTGACTGGCCTCTCCCCACAGCCCCTCCTCCTCAGCTGATGTCTGGCCCAGGCATGCACTCAAGCCCCATCTTTTGTTCCCTGGTGGCCACGTGGCATCCCACCCCTCACTTAAAACAATTCCCTCAGAGGGCCCTGAGTTTATACCCTCTCCTTGCCCTGCTACTTCCTGTCCTTCAGACCAACAATGAACTTGAAGCCCAGAGGGTTGCAACGGAATTTGCCTTCAGGAAGCGATTGCGGGAGATGGAGAAATTATACAGTGAGCTCAAGTGGCAAGAGAAGAATGTGAGCCTTCTGCCTTCAGTCCCTGGGGCCTGGATGTCCAGCTGTTGGGATGAGGATCCCAGGGTCCAGCCAGGAAGCCCTGACTGGGCGCACCATGGCGGGTCCAGCTGGTGGACACTAGTCACTCTGTCCCCACAGACCTTGGAGGAGATTGCCGAGCTGGAGAATGACATCCGGCACCTGGAGGAGGATCTACGCAGAAAGTTAATGAACCTGAAGTTATGCCATACTCGGCTAGAGTCTAGAACCTACCGGCCCAACGTGGAACTCTGCCGGGATCAGGTGCCAGGATACCCCCACAGGGCATGGGCCCCTGCCGAGGTTTTGAAATCAATCCCCAGCACTTGAAATCAATCCCCAGCACTGATTCTTGGCAGAACAAGGGAGCTGGCTTAGGGCAGCACCCAGGACCTTGGGCTAAAGTATGGTATGACTGACCTGGAACTCCTAACCCTCCCATCTGCCTCCAGGCACAGTATGGCCTCACTGAGGAGGTTCACCAATTAGAAGCAACCATAGCTGCCCTGAAACAGAAGCTGGCACAAGCACAGTAGGTCTGGGAGTGGGCAGGAGGGGCAGGGAAATACCTCTCACCCCTCAGGGGAGGGACCTCTGGCTACCTGCTGGCTTCCCTGCTGTCCTCTCCAGGAAGGCTGGCGAGTTCAGCCTTGACCTCCCAGCCTCCTGCAGGGATGGTGGGTTATTAATGCCTCCTCCCCAGGGATGCTCTGGATGCCCTATACAAGCACCTTGCCCGGCTGCAAGCTGACATTGCCTGCAAGGCCAACTCCATGCTCTTGGATACCAAGTGCATGGACACGCGTCGCAAGCTGACCGTGCCTGCTGAGAAGTTTGTGCCTGAGGTGGACACCTTCACCCGCACCACAAACCGCACCCTGAGTCCACTCAAAACCTGCCAGCTGCAGCTGGCTTAGCTTTGGTGCTGAGGGAGGAGGGGGCGGTTAGGTGGAAAAAAGAAGGTGTGTGTGGGGGGAGAGACAATCTAATAAATGTTGGGTTCTTAGTCCAGATGTTTCTCTCTGGATGTTCCAAATCCGATTCTTTCCCTTCTTTCCCCTAAGGGAACCCCTCTCTGGCTCTAGCCGCCTGACCTGTAACCAGCTCTGCCCCCAGCCGGCCCCTTGCCTGCCCTCCTGATGCCTGGGAAGGGTCAGAGGGGCAAGGCTCACAGTGGGGGCCCAGGCCTGAGTGTGGGCCAAGAGGCCAGGGCTGCCAAGGGAGGGTGCGGGGACCCGGAGCGAGGGTTCATAGAGGCCGACCACTGGGCACTGCGGCCTGATGTGCTGGCTCAGTGCCCACCCCTCGGGATCCTTCCGTGACCGTCCCATCCGGTTTTTTGTTTTTTTTTTTAAAGATTTATTTATTTATTTATACAAGCACTGGGTACAGTCAGAAGCGCGAGAGGGTGAGAGAATCCACCAGAGCCAGAGCGGGGAGCAGAGCAGGCAGAAGGACTGAAGTACACTGCTGAGGGGAGCAGCGGGCGGCAGGAGAGGTCTGCGCGCCATGTGGGATCCTCCTCCGGTGGCCGGGGAGCAGCCGGGGATCGAACCGGCGCCGCGGGCAGCTTCGCAACCCAGTGCTCAACCGCTGCGCCACCGGGGAGGCCCGTCCCATCCGGTTTCGACGCCCTTTTTTCCCAGGGGGGATGCGGGAACTAACAGCAGGGGCCTGGCCAAGCCGACCGGCCGCGGGGCACACCTGCGTCACGCGCGGGCGGGGGCTGCGGCTCCAGGCCGCTGGGCGGCGCTGTGGGTGCAGCGCGGCGCCGGAGGCTCCAAGCCACGCGGGGGCGCTGTGGGGCCGCGGGGGAAGCGGCCGCCGAGGGGCGCGCGCCGGCCGCACCGGAAGTGGCGACTGGTCCGCGCGGATGGCGGCGGCGGTGGCGATGACGGCGGCGGGGTGCGGCGGCGCTGGGGCGGCCCGCTCCCTCTCCCGCTTCCGAGGCTGCCTGGCCGGCGCGCTGCTCGGGGACTGCGTGGGCGCCGTCTACGAGGCGCAGGACACCGTCCAGCTGACGTCAGTGTTGCGTCACGTGCAGAGCCTGGAGCCGGACCCGGGCTCGCCCGGCAGCGCGCGGACAGGTGGGCGGGGCCGGCGCACGTGGGCGCGGC